GACCATTACACCATTAGAGGTTGTCTTAACCCTGCAATGTAAACACTTGCAGGGTTAAGGGGACATGGACACTGCATCCAAACCACTTTAATGAGATTAAGTGGTCTGGGTGCCTATAGTGTCCCTTTAATATAAGGTTATTCTTCAAATAGGGATCATGCATGGGGCTAGGCAAATTCGTGGTTTTTGGACCTCTGTACAGCCTCCTAAGGTCACCTTATAGTTAATCCTGCTCTGGTTAAAAATACATTGCCAGTGCAACCAAGACACTTATTGAGATGAAGTAATCTGGGAGTATTTAGTGGTGCTTAAACACAGAAATGTTCCCAGGTGCTCAAGCTTGATGATGTATATTCAGTAAAATGCTTCTCATAAAATAGCATCGTGGACATACAATTATTCTGAGCCAATTGCTACATTCTGTCAATCCAATTGCTATAAATCATTGGATCCACTCCCAGTGTCCGGTGTCAACATACTTTGTTTACTGATTTTTACAAGCGTAAATAGATTATTTATTAAATATATTGAGTCCAATCCACTAGTGGATTACTTTCTGATAGCTTGTCAGGACGTGGATATTTATAAATGTAGACATTGCCATTTAACACTGCAATGCAGCATCTATGCCACAAAACACACATCATTGTTTTTTTGGTTAGATTGTTCCTTGTAATAGAACTGCTTTCCAGCAGAAGTGGCCCACCTCCTGAGAGACTTAAAGGCCATCAGATTTCTGTAAAATAAGAGTTTTGTTTTAAATTGTGTCTAGGGTCGCATTTTGCAGCTGACACAATGGCAGTGGCAACTGGGTAACGGGGAAGGATATGGATTGCTTGTTTTTATGTTAAAAAAGGGAAACCTAAGAGATTGTGAATGGCCATTTGGCCACTTAGCTTTGTATGTAAATAGGGTTGGAGGGATATGGCCATATCTTATTGTATGTATGTAACAGAGCATTCACACACCATGTATAGACATACACATCGTATTTCCTTGCAAACGGATATGCACATATCACAGGTACTTCCATGCATTCTTGTACCCACAAATATACACAAGTACACAGTCTTGTACCCACAAATATACACTAGACTTGGGCACCGCTGAAATTTCTGTTTCATCTGAATACATTGGACCCAAAACAAAATTTTGTTTCATCCAAACCAAATTTTGTCCGTATTGTTTTCAGACAAAATTCGGCAATTCTTTTAATTTCAGATTATTTTTTTTCGGGTGAATGAAATTCTGCTATCCATGCGCAGCTATATCTTGCAACCATTTTTAGCAGTTGACTCCCTAATTTGGTACACTCGTGGGGTTTCCATAATTTGGGGTACCTAACCAGCAAGTCTGAAAATGTACCTGTCAGACAACTTTGGTTGGTTTAGAAGCCAACTCAAATTGAACAGTGTGGTAAAACCTCTTAAGGCTTTCCCTGCTCTACAAGTTCAGGCTACATGGACCCCCTGCAGGGTGAAGATGACTTGTTTGTTCATCTGTTTTGTTTTTTCAATGCAGTGGGTTTTTTTGTTGAAAAAAGATGATGGAAGAAAAAAGAAGACATCTTGTGGTAAGTATGACATTTATTTTAATGGTATTTAGTTTATTGGCCCCTCACTATTATTAGATGAGGCCAGTAGGTAAGGTCTTTTGGGGCCACTGGGAGGGTGGACACAATGAATTCTTAATATTATTTGCCACTACCGATGCCAATGGGTGGGACCTGGGTAGACAATAAGTCCACAACCTTTTAATATTTAGAGTCACCACCTGCTGCCAATGGTTGAGAGCTAGAAGGGACAATAGGTCCATCCCTTTTTAGTTTTTAGAGCCCTCACCCCGCCACCAATGGGTGCTGTCTTGGCGGGCACGAAGTCCCCCACCTGTGTATTTTAACAGCCCTCACTTGCAGGGCATGAGTGGGGGCTCACAATGACGTTATGTCCCTTCATTTATTTAGTACACCACCATGGGGGACCTGTGCCGGGTCCCCTTTTATTGGATTAGTGACAGGGCAGTCCAGTCGGGAGTCTTGTTTTATGATTGTGAGCAGCCACTTGCTGATTGCTCTTTAATAGACATGCCCTTAATCATGGCACTGCAGCTAGGGGCATGATGGAGGATTTAACATCCTTTATACCTATATGGTGGTCATGTTGATGCCATAGGCATAGACATTAGGGTGAGGTGGGTATTGTGGATTTAGGACATGGTGGGGAGCACAGCTTCTATTATTAAATATTACAAGGTGGGAGCTCGAGCCAGTAGCTCCCTCCTTGTAAATAACTAAACAAAGGAATGAAGGAGCCAATTTCATGGACGAAATATCATCCAACAAACAACTCATTCTTCGTTTCATTCAATGTAATTTGCAAACGTCCATTTGTCTTTTAGACAAATTGCTAAACATTCGGACGAAAAACGAATGCCCAAGTCTATTATTTATTCCACAGGAAATGCCCAAATTCACTTAATCTAAAACACACTACACATTTAATTACTCACATATATTAGATTATGCACATGCACATATCTAGTTGTGAGTCATGCCAGCTTTAATATATGACTGCATGTCAAACCGAAAGGCAAGCTGAACAAATCACAATATAGATCATTCATGCCTTCAGTGTGCTATTGGCCTGGGTGATGCACAGCACTGTTTAGTCAATGTTTAGTCCACTCTCTATAAAGACATTGAACACGTTTCACACTTTTTAAAGGTTGTTTTCAACAATTACCCCTTTTGCTAGAATTTATTGCGGCTTTTATTTTTTTGTTACAAGTATGCTGTGTGTATAGAAGTGAAGATTTCATACTTTTATATACAATCACAATGAGACCATTGCGGGGATGCATGTTTGGGTCCATAGATTGGACCATTGAATAAAGAGTGGTTTACAAATGTCTGTATGAGTTCGTCTTTAGAAGTCATTTTTTATATCTCTGCACTGTTCATTTATAAAATAACAGTTAATGCATGTATTTAATGAACGGTCCTTTCTCTGTCATTAAGATTTTATTTCTGACTACATGGTCACGTTTAAATGTCCACAACAAAGTGTCTTTGTGTATATATATATATACGCCTGCATGTCTAATATTATATCTACATGGCAAATGGTTTTTTTTTACCATGTATGATTCTAGGAATGTCTAAAAACAAAAAAATTCGTTAGTTATAGTGATTTCTTTAATATAGAAGAATTCATGGAAGGCTCCACTTCTACGTAACAATAAAGAACTAATATTTCTGTGCTCTCTTATTCAGCACATTCAGGAATATCTGAACCGTCATTTATTGCAAAAAGTGAAGACCGATTATTCAAATATTTATTCCAAGATCAAGATTACCAAAAATGGGTTCGTCCAGTTGAAGAGTTGAATGATACAATAACAGTGAAGTTTGGGCTTGCAATAACACAGCTTGTGGACGTGGTAGGTATCTTTTTATGCCGGTTAGAAAGCAAATTACAGTAACTATCTTTAGGTTTCTTGTGTGTTATTTAAATAGTAAAAATGCAATTAATACATTTTAAATGCATAATTTGATCATCAAATGCCATATGTCATGGAGATAATCCTGAAGTGACTTTAATATATTAAAATATATTGCAGTTATCCCAAATCCTATGTAACTTGTTTACAGCTATCCGGTAAACTAACCTAAATTGTTCCCTATCCCTAAGAACATTAATACTCAAAATATCCCTCACAACGAGTGGCAGTGTTAAACATTGAGTCACTATGAACTGTGCTGGATTGTTTTTGTACTCTGGAAAATACTGTGCAATTACAAAAACTAAGAAGCAACTTTTGACATTTTTGAGCATATGGCAGCGATATTTTTAGTGTTACATGAATAAAAGTTGTGCAATCTGCCCTTAAACTTATACAATTAATTGTATAGCTCAGTGGTAGCCAACCCAATTCCCAAGTACCCCCTAACAGTCCAGGATTTAGGGATTACCCAGTTGTGTCTAAAGTGGTTTTAGAAGAAAGAAAACCAGCACTGTAGACACAACTGGGTTATCCCTAAATCCTGGACTGTTACTTGAGGACTGGGTTGGGAACCCCTGGTATAGCTGATGAACCAAACACAGGGTGCACTTTGTGGGTACTAGACTAATAAGGGCCTACCATTGGACTACAGTGTTTGCAAGAGGAACACTTAAAGGACCACTATAGGCACCCAGACCACTTCAGCTCAATGAAGTGGTCTGGGTGCCGGGTCCCTCTAGTTTAACCCTGCAGCTGAAAACTTTGCAGTTTTAGAGAAACTACTATGTTTACACTGAGGGTTAATCCAGCCTCTAGTGTCTGTCTCCCTGACAGCCACTAGAGGCCGCTTCTGCGATTCTCACTGTGAAAATCACAGTGAGAAGACGCTGACGTCCGTAGGAAAGCATTGAGTAATGCTCTCCTATGGTTTTAACCCCTCCAGCCCAGCGGGAGAGAAGCCATGAGTGTGGGGGAGGGGGGGACCTAAGGACTACATGGTGCCTGGAAAACGAATTTGTTTTCCTGGCACTATAGTGGTCCTTTAAATTTATTCAAAGAACATGTTTGTTCTTATAGTAATTTGTTTTATCTTGATGGTAATGTGATTTAATTTTTTTCCTATATTTTCCATTTTAGGATGAAAAAAATCAGCTAATGACTACTAATGTCTGGTTAAAACAAGTATGTAAACCATTCCTGTTCCTGTATATATATTATATGTCGAGAGTGATATACATCAGACTCAAGTGAAGAATTTGTCCTTCAAGGACCAACGACATTCTATAGATTAAAAGGGCATTTTAAACACCATAACCTCTGCAGCCTATTGCTCATATGAGTCTCCAGTTGCTATCCCGTTATTTTTGTTGCATCAAATAGTTTTTCAATGAGTTTAATAAAAATAGAGTTGTCTTGGTCACTAAGGACTTTTTCTGGACATGAGATAATGCTGACACTTTTATTTATGTATTACTCATCAGTTTGGATGCCAATGATAGGCTGCCGCCCTCATCCTTGCTGCCCCTGGCACTCACAGCCAGTCCTTGCCATTCAGACTAGGATAGATTTAATTTTATAGCTGGAGTAGGGGTTTGGAGCTAAAAGAGTTCCATTTTTTTTTTAAATCTGTTTTTTTTTTTTTTTTTTAACTGTTCAAAAAGGATTTAACAAAAATTTGGAGGAATGCATTGAATCTTTGCACTTTGACCACTGCAATAAGGTGTAGAGTTTCCCTTTAACAAAAACAAGAACAAGCTTTATCACCTTTCAGGGATTGTAGTCGTTGGCTTGCAAACAACCTTATCATTTCTTCAATATTGTGCCCTGCAGGTGATGAAGGGTTTGTCCCTTCTCCAATATGTGTCTAAGCCTAACTCTGTTTACTCATTGCTGTTTTTAATGGCTATACCAGACTGTCACAGAAGCTCCCATGCCACAGCCTGCTGAAGAAGCATAACAGCTACCCTCCTGCCCACAAACTATGGGCCTGGTCACAGACTTTAAAATGATATATAGGATGTGGCAATACGTTGTTCTCTTGTTTTACCCAATACGACTGGTCTTGTCCACTATATTGGGGAATTTTACAATGTTCAGAGTTCTATAATCACTGTATGCTGTAGCTGAATCCAGGACCAGCAGAGGATTACTAGAATGAACATTAAGCAACTGTTAACGCAGACCCTTGAGAGACCTTATCTACGATCATGAATCACAGTACCACCAGTAGGCTAATGACATTCAGCTAATGCTCTCTCTCTGCTAAGGCACAATATAGCACATTGAATGCTATTTAAATTGCTGCACAGAGGGGTGCACTGACTTCTAGTGAGTTTCTGCAACAAATCTTGTTATTGATGGCACCCTGCTATTTTACAGACCAGCCCTTCTATGCTTCCTTTGCAGCTAGGCCAGTAGAGTCAGCATGGCTGCATTGATCCAGATTAATCAGATCCAGGTAGGGTGCAGGCCTTCTCACATGCTAATCACACCTGGAACCTCATGTCTTCTGTCTTAGGAAGCTCAAAATCTTTTTTATCTTATTTTGTTCAGGACCAGAACAAAAAAAAAAGAAATTTCTTCTGATCTTTTGATAAACTGCACTCCTCCTTGCAATGAAACATAAAATATGTACTAAACTGTTTATTTTCTTGATATATTCATGTAAATATCCAATTGACCACTAGATGTCAGCACATATTGCTATTTACAACTTCTGTCTGGTCTTTGTTCTTTAGCTATTTACATGTTAAACACTTCTTTTAATGTTGGCTGTATTCATGAGAGGGGTTGTATTAACAGTAACTAGCAATGGATTTTTATTGATTTATTTTTCTGAGATAGTAATTTTAAAGCTAGTATTAAATGGACACTATGGTCACCAGAGCAACTACAGTTTAATGTAGTTGTTCTTGTTAGTATAGTCTGTCCAGTGCATATCTATGAGGAGATGCTGATTGACTAGGGCAGCGTTTGGCCCTGCCCATGCCCCACCTGCTTGGCTGAGATCATCAGAATTGACAATCTCAGCTAATCCAATGCTTTCCTATGAAATAAGGTAGGTTTTCTTATTATTTAAGGGAGGCAAGGGAGTGTGGCAGAGTAAAGAATACACATGTGTACAATGCACCTGACAATAGAGCGAAAACAGGCTTCAGATTGAAAACCATGCATGATGTATTTTAGATTAATATTTATGTAACTAAGGCATACATTTCTGAAATTATATTTTTGATACTTTCAATAGAAAGTGAACAACTGGACACATTAGCAAGGGCATCTGTATAGAGTATTTGAAATTGAATTTATTAAAACACAGGAATAAAATTATACAACAAAATAAAATAATAAATGCAAAAATTATACTCTCATTTTAAAGGAACACTATAAACATGTATTCCTGACCCTATAGTTTTAAAACCACCATCTAGACCCCCTGCCCCTCTCTTGCCTCCCTAAAAATAGTTGTATTCAAGTCTGGAGCTGCTGCCGTTGCCTCTGAACGGTCTATGAGCTCTGACATCAGATGTGGGGGTTTAAGTCAATCACAATGCTTCCCCATAGGATTGGCTGAGACTGACAAGTCGGCAGATCAGGGGCAGAGCCAGTACAAGTCAAATACAGCCCTGGCCAATCAGCATCTCCTCATAGAGATGAATTGAATCAAAGAATCTCTATGAGGAAAGTTCAGTGTCTGCATGCAGAGGGAGGAGATACTGAATGTTTGGATGCATTTTAGGCAGCCATGACCCAGGAAGGATCTCTAACAGCTATCTAAGGAGTGGCCAGTGAAGTTATCACTAGGCTGTAATGTAAACACTGCATTTTCTCTAAAAAGACATTGTTTACAGCAAAAAGCCTGAAGGTAATGATTCTACTCACCAGAACAAATTGAATAAGCTGTAGTTGTTCTGGTGACTATAGTGTCCCTTTAATTTGGTGCATTTGCAAGAAATTCCCAGGCTTTTGACTGCCCAGACAAATATGTGATTAGCTAAGTAGTATGTTTTAATATTTCTGTGTTTTGGCACAATGAAATGGTTAAGATCATCACATAGACTTTCATGTTTGTGTAGGAACCACAGGATTAATGCCAGATAACGTTACTAGTTTCTGAGAAATTAGTTTGCTGAGATCATCCGCTGACACTGTAGGCCATTGCCAATGCACTATCTGTCTAGATAGGGACACTATTGACATATTTAATGTGGAAGGGGGTAGAAAAGAGGGGCAAAGCCAGAGGTGCCTCAAATAACTCTTTAATATGCTTTCCTAATTTTATAAAGGAGCTTGTGTTATAGCACTACCGTGGTTGCCCACAGAAACTCTGTGATACATTGCCAGCGTATAACCAACTCAATTTCCAGGTCTTCATTCTGGATGCCAGCAAGTGACGTACAAGTCATGCATGCACAATTCATAATCCTGAAGCCCCAACTGTGAGAAGCCTATAAGCATATCCTCATGCAGCCAGACCACGGATTGAATGAATGCCGAGAGTCTGACTGCTGTGGGTGGAGTGATCTTTTAAATGAAATATTGACAAATCTATATCTTTGCTATCAATTTACTAGCCACAATCTACACATCTGTAATGAAATAGTCATTAGTGTAAAAGAGCATGACAGTCTCACTTTCAGTACAAAGGTTTAAACCCTAAATGTTGTACTCTGAACAATTATATTGATATTATTTTAGAGCAATAGATTGTCTACTCAAGTTGTCTATTTTCTAGGAATGGGTTGATGTCAAGTTAAGATGGGCCCCCAAGGAATTTGCTGGTATAACTTCGATCCGCGTCCCTTCAGATTCTATCTGGATCCCGGACATTGTTCTTTATGACAAGTAAGTAATTGAATATTTGCATTTTATTGCATTTAGAAGGGGTTTTCAACCAGTGAAAATAGAACATAAGTGCACAGCTGATTTTCATAAAATTAAAATGTACATGTGCACTTAAAGTACTGCACACTTTAATAGGGGTTACAGTAGATATATTTTGATATGTATATATTAGATTCAGATGTTGTTGTCCTGTACAATTTACAATCTTGAGTAGCTATGGAAATCCCATAGATATAGCAAGAATAAAAAGCATTTGGTAGCAGTACAATAAATATACATTTATTAAATGAATTTAATGTAATTGGGTTTGTGGAGTGTTTTATTATTGGTGTATGCCAGGATGCATGGATTTAAAATTAATGGTGTCAGTGCTCTGTGTTCAGAACCACAAGGTCTCATTTATGTTGCAGTGCTCTGTGTACAGAACCACAAGGTCTCATTCATTGCAGTAGGGCAAATTCTGTAGAAAAGGTTTAGCAAGACAGCTGATTGCACTGGCTTCAGAAAGACAAACAGATGTGAGTAAATTGTACAATTGAAAAATTTGTAGACTAAAGGAAGGAGTGACTCAGGGCTCCAGATGGAGATAAATTATATGAATTATATTCTTTGCTCTATTGAAGGGACCTCATGGGTGGATGGTACATCTGATTTTATTAATTATGTAGACAGTGCATCATACAAAACCTTACATATTTTTGTACATAAAAACACAGAATGTGAAGGCAGATAAGAAGAACCATTCGACCCATCTAGTCTGCCACATTTTCTAAATAATAAAATAATAAATACATAGATATTTTTGAATGCATATAATACAAAATAATAAATAAATTCCATATCAAAACAACGTGTTATTAAAGTGCAAATTGGATGTATAGGTATAAAGACTACCAAACATGTAAATTTTCATACAGGATTGTAAGAATCTTTTGTTTGTACAAATTGCATGTTATTTTGCTGTATATGCTATGTAAAACATTTATGCCACCTTTGTTTATAGTGCTGATGGTCGTTTTGAAGGCTCTGTTACAAAAGCCGTAGTAAAATACGATGGAACCATTAGTTGGACCCCACCGGCAAATTATAAAAGTTCATGCGTGATCGATGTTACCTTTTTCCCTTTTGACCTTCAAAACTGTTCCATGAAGTTTGGTTCATGGACCTATGATGGATCTCAAGTTGATATTAACCTGGAAGACTTTCATGTAGACAAGAGGGATTTCTTTGATAATGGAGAATGGGAAATAGTAACTGCTACAGGATTCAAAGGAAATCGAACAGATGGGTGCTGCTGGTATCCATATATCACTTATTCGTTCATCATAAAACGGTTACCTCTTTTTTATACACTTTTTCTAATTATACCTTGTATAGGACTTTCATTTCTTACAATACTTGTATTTTACCTCCCTTCAAATGAAGGTGAAAAAATTTCTCTTTGTACATCTGTACTTGTATCTTTAACAGTTTTTCTCCTTGTCATTGAAGAAATTATACCGTCCTCATCAAAAGTGATTCCTCTTATTGGAGAATACCTGGTCTTCACAATGATATTTGTGACATTATCAATTGTGATAACTGTTTTTGCCATAAATATTCACAATCGTTCTTCTTCAACTCACAATGCCATGGCACCTTGGGTGCGCAAGATTTTCCTTCACAAACTTCCAAAATTACTGTGTATGAGAAGTCATGTTGATCGGTATTTTACCAGAAAAGAAGAAACTGGAATGACAAACGGATCGGATTCTTCTAGGAATACCTTAGAAGCTGCTTTGGATTCTATTCGGTACATAACAAGGCATGTCATAAAGGAACATGAAGTTCGTGAGGTATGTATTTTTGTTGTTTATTGAATACCAGATAAAGTATAGCTCACTTATGCTGCTTGTTTAATGTTCATATACAATAATTTAAAGAATTGTATTTTAAAGGGGAACTGTCACTTCCCAGAATTTGTACATTTTCTTTTTACTTATCCATATATTTAAAAATAAAAAATATATATTTTTTTTAAATAATAGTTTTGTGAGGCTTAAAAAATAAAAATAAATGTAGAAATTGGCACCTCTTTATCCTAGCTACCTGTCAATCATTGTTATAAGCTCTGTCCTTTGTTCCTTGCAGTCAGCATAGAGAGAGAGGATAAGAAATGCAGCAATTTTCCTATTTTTCTCTCCATTTGCAATCTCTGCCTTGGATTTGTCTTACCTGAACTGTACTACATTGTCACTTGCTAAATCTTTAAAGGGACAGTTTAGGCACCCAGACCACTTTATCTCAATGAAGTGGTCTGAGTGCCATGTGCCATGTCGGTTTAACCCTGCAATATAAAACATTGCCGTTATGCTGGAATGTTTACCCTGCAGGATTTAAAATACCTTTTAGTGGCAGTCCAATACAAGTGCTTCCTCCAAAACAGCCAAGTAAAACTATGCTGTTTCTATCAGATGGTATAAGATTGGTGCCATTTGATTGGTGTAGAGCAGCACTAGCCAACATCCCCCATCCCCTTGTTGGACCTTGGGGGAAGCTGGACAATAGAATAACTCAAAATATGCACTATGTCTCCTAAAGCAGCTCACATGGGAGGTGTGTGATTGACCAAATTAAGAATGTTCTGAGGAATTCCTGAAACTGACTTTACCGTAAAGCAAGCATTGAAAACTGATTAATTTCCCCTTTGTAAAAAAGTGAATTTGTTCATAAAAGAGTTAAAATTTTATAAAACTCATTGATATGTATTTATTGTGTTCTCTACCTATACGACCTTTTGTTAAGTCCCTCTTTAGTAGTAAATTTCAATAATATGAATATTTTATATATTTTTTTATTTTTTTCCCCACAGGTTGTTGAAGATTGGAAATTTGTAGCTCAGGTGCTGGACAGGATGTTTTTATGGACGTTTCTTCTAGTTTCAATAGTTGGATCAATTTTTCTTTTTATTCCTGTCATTCATAAGTGGGCAAATATCATTGTGCCTATACACATTGGAAATATGTACGGAGACAGAACCACATGAGCTGGCCTGTTATATATTTATTATAATATTGAACATATATATTAAATGCATTTTCAGAAATATTTGCTGCTCTATGTAATATTTTAAACCTGATGCTTTTAAAGAAATATTTTTATTTTTTATTTAAACAGCTTATATAATTAAGGTATGACTTAAAAGTATTTAAAATTGGTTGATATTATTTTGTAATACGGTCCATTTATTATATACTGCTTATATGTACATTTTAAACCTTGAATAAATATACATTTAGCCCAATATCTAATGTCACAATTAATATTTTTTAATTATTTGTCTTTTATAATAACCTTGATATGAAAGATGAACGTTAAACGAACATTCTGTTAAAAAAAAAAAAGTTTATTTTTAATATTTTCTTAGGTTTTAGATTATTCACTCTTTAAAAATAAATCTGCATTTATTCTCAATCTAGCGCCAAAACAGTCTCCTCTCGGCAACATTCCTTCTCTTCTGAGGTTATCTGTTCTGGTAGTCAGCCAATTCAAAGCCTCTCTTTGCAGAATCATGCTGTGTAGTAATTAAAAGTATTTAATGAGCAAGCTTTGGATTTTTAAATTTTTTTTTTTTTTTTGCTCCTTTTTTGTTCCCTGATGATTTTACTTTTAATTACTTTAAAAAAATAAGTGTGTTTGACATATGGCCTCAAAGTCTAGTTGCAGTTGGAGGTTATGTGCATGAGAGCCAAAACACCATTTCACGTTTTGTATGTAGGAAAACCCAGCATAATGCTCGGCTCCAAGCACATAGTCCCATATCCTGGAGTGTATATTATGTGCCACCAGTGTATATTGCTGTTCTGAGAGAAAATGGTGAAAATTAAACCAGATTATCCCAATATAGTATATATTTTTTTTTTTAAATGGATGTCTGTGATGGAGCTCCAGTACTCGGACCGAGTACCTCTGCCAAGTGTGCTTTCTCAGAGCTATCAGGGACTCGGGAGCACTTCAAACCCAGTCGCCAAGACTTGACTGGAATCTCTGAGGGCCTGGTCCACCCTTGACCAGGCTACTAGGATTACAAGCCTGGGCACCCTTTTCATCAGCTTAGCAGTAATCAGAGCTCTTTTCCCAAACACCAGACGACACTTGGTGAAGGTTGAAACAACAACTCCCTATAATGAATACAGGAAACATATTTATGCCCCCAACAGCCTCATTTACATACAATAGGCTGCATAGAGCACTATAGTACATGGAAGGATGGGGCCAGACAATAGGCTGAGAACCAAATGGGAGATTGAAGAGGGACAGGGCAGCTAGTTTAAACTGGTCCTGTAGTGTCCCTGGGACAATGCCCTGCTGGGAAAATGATAGGACAGGGAAAAAGGGAGAGGGGCAAAGGCCCAGATAATCAGTACATTCAACATACCCTGCACCAATACTGGGCACAAGGTGACCAAAGCACAAGAAGAATCTGGGGACCCACACATAGTGTCTGTCTTCCATCCACAGGGATGGTGACTACCGTCACAATGTCTATAGAGTGTAAAACTTATTTTAGGATTATGTAATTCACTCTTTTAGTGAGCTCAATTGGGCTTTGTAAAGTTATTACAGTAGCATGCAAGCCAGACAATGACTCGGTAAATGCTGAAATATGACTGAATTAGAAACATTTGGAATTTGACTCTATAGCTTTTTTTAAAATTACAATTTTGCAAAAGTCTACATATGGCAATTGCTGTATTCGTGGGCAGTAGCAGAATACAAATATGAGGTTTTTACAGTAGTGGGACACATATATGTTGAATTCCGCATAAAAATTAAATGTGTGTGTGAAAAACACACACACAACAACATTTAATATAACCATTAAATATGGCAGAAGTTAGTTTTAAAATTGCTAAATGAAGGGTGTCACAATTCTCTTAGTTAAATGCCCTGGGAGGAAGTACAACTTTCTACAAATATGATTCAAAATCATAACAAAAAAATAGAAATGTTTAATTATTGTTATTGTTATAGTCTCAGTAGACCAAATTTGGCAAGTTTTTGCTTATGTTTTATATTTTTCGTAATTTTATTTGTAATTTACATTTTTTATTCATATGTAATGTCCGAAGAAGAAAAACTGAGCAAATGTTTTTATAAATATAATTTCTAACTTAACTGCTTGGTACAAAGAAGTGGAAACTTTTTGTTTGTCAAAATAACCTATTTTTAGCAAGGGGAAATTAACGTTTGACTATAACTGAGTTCAATTCTTTAGAAAGAGAGAAATCCATTTTAAAACATTTATTTGAAGAATTCTTGAAATTTCAAAGTGAATTTTACATTTTATGGCAAAATAGCCAAAGTTGAACATTTACAATTCCATGTGAATTCTCAGCAATTAACACTTTAGAGTAACACCTTGTTATCAACTAAAGTGTAAATTCAAAATGCATCTAAATATTAGGTCAAATTAGCAGTTGGCCTTTTCTGCCTAAAGCCTTAGATTCACTTTGAATTTGTGACAATTCACTCAGTAACGAATTTAAAAATGTATTCAAAAATATTCTGATTTATAAATGACTTATCCATTTACTGTTATATTGTAAAGTCTCCAAGGTATATTCTTGCACTGTTGCAAACTGAATGTTTATTATACCCCATGAGAACATCTTCCCAGGTAAGGCTTTCGTTATATAAACCCAAGGAAATTCAACCTTTTACTTTACGATGTGAATACAAGATCAGATTAAAGGTCAGTTAATTCTACCTTCAGCATAGCAAACACATTGATATTTTTATTATTTCTATTATATATTTTAAGATCTATCAAACATTTTTTTTTTTTTAAATGATAATCGAGGCCCTGGGCATTTTTATAAAAAAAAATTAACTAATCATAGAATGACCACGTCTCAGAAATACCAGTAAGTAATCAGAAGAGATTACTGAAAGTTAATCACAAAAATAAGTTCTGCGCTCAAACTCTTACTACTGAAAGCAGTAGAATTAATTGAATCAATAGAATTGCAGAGAATTAATTGAAGCAGATTAATTTTAGGAGTACGGTGATTTATTAATTAGCTTTTCTATAAAGAATACTTGGGCATCTATATATTAAAAGTTAGGATCGTTAATCGCATTTGTTACTGCGCACACAGATCCCTGGCAAATTTTATGGTGCTTCACTGGCTATTTTGTGACTTAATGGGCGCACATGAAGCGTTGTCACTCGTTTCTCTAGCTATTAAGGTTAAGCCCATGCTATAATTACTCCAGGAACTCTCAGAAGCCCTGGGTAACTGCTTGTACACCTTGTTTTATTTGTATTCTTGTTCCTTAATGACCTACATTGTTAGGGAAGATAACGGTTTTGGACTAAGGCCAGTAGGTTTTTCCTGTATTTATATGCTACAAATTATTCTCCTCACAGTATAGTGAGCTATGCAATTTAGCATCACCTCATCGTTCCATGTTCCCTTATGTTGCTATGTACATGGTTAAAAAAAAAAAAAAGCGATTGCTATAACTTGGTGGTGTTATATGTAATCACTGTGGCTTGGGTTTAATATTTTGTGTCTTTTCACCATTTATTTTATCTCTTCTCTTTGTGGGTGAGAGATACTCGTAAGGGCTTTTTACTAGGATTTTTATCATTTAACTTTTTTTAGGTGTGGATACATTGCTCTTTTTGCAACATTTTTAATTGCTTTACAATCCCAAATGTTTTGCTGTGATTTGTGCTATACCCCTGCAGTTTTTATATTGAGTCTTTTTTGAGCTTGTCTTTTTTAATTTGTGTATTCCATTATTAAAATATACTTATTATATGTATTTAATTTTATTTAACTCATATATTAATAGGAGGGGTCATACTGCATTCTATTTGTTTTTATCTATTTTATCTCCCTTCAGTGTGAAGCAGCCCACAATAACTATATCTATACTTTTTTGACATGTTTTTACTTTTACTCTTTTAATATAGTATATGTATGTTTTGAGTAGAACTTTGGGTTAGTATGTCTTTTTGCTAGAACTGAATTATTGGTTTCCAAAAATGACTAGAAGCTACTGGAGAGAAGTTACCATATTGTGATTTGACTTATGAATACCTTGAACAAAAATATACACGCTTAATTCTGATAAAGTGTGCAAGGTTTACTAACACAGCACATAGCCAGATGCACAGTTGTATACAGCTGTCAGTTGTAATCTGATATACCCAATCATACAAAGCGCATATCACTGACAATTGAAAGAGTGGGTAAAAAAACCGAATACGTCTGTTGCCCATTGCCTGTGTCCATGCATTCTTAAAGATAAATTATAGGACCTGGGAGCAAAGGTTACGAAAAAAAAGCAGACTGCAGCAAACATTTGCAGGTAAATTAGAGGGGCTTAGCAGAGAGAAGTACGATTTAAAAAAACCCATACATTTAACAGTCTACTTACAGTGAGGGAAAAAATAACTTGATTCCCTGCTGATTTTGAACGAAATGATCAGTCTATAATTTTAATGGTAGGTGTATTTTAACAGTGAGAGACAGAATAACAAAAAAAAAAAAAAATCCAGAAAAAAACATTATAAATTGATTTGCATGTCAGGTCACGTGCAGGGTCCTCTACCTGTTGTATCGGTCTGTTCTTATTGTGTTTGTCTTTTTCCCAATTGTACAGCACTGCGGAATTTGTTGGCGCTTTATAAATGCCAGTAACAATAATAATAATGAGTGAAATAAGTATTTTATCCCCTATCATTCAGCAAGGTTTCTGGCTCCAGGGCGTCTTTATTTTTTTAAATTGTTTTTTATACAAGTAAAGAGCTGAGATTAGGAGCACTCTCTCATAGGGAGTGCTCCTAATCTCAACTTGTTACCTGTATAAAAGACACCTGTCCACAGAAGCAATCAATGAATGAGATTCCAAACTCTCCAACATGGCCAAGACCAAAGAGCTGTGCAAGGATGTCAGGGACAAGATTGTAGACCTACACAAGGCTGAAATGGGCTACAAGACCATCGCCAAGCAGCTTGGTGAGAAGGTGACAACAGTTGGTGCGATTATTTGCAAATGGAAGAAACACAAAATAACTGTCAGTCTCCCTCGGTCTGGTGCTCCATGCAAGGTCTCACCCAGTGGAGTTTCAGTGATCATGAGAACAGTGAGGAATCAGCCCAGAACTACACAGGAGGATCTTGTTAATGATCTCAAGGCAGCTGGGACCATAGTCACCAAGAAAACAATTGGTAATACAATACATTGTGAAGGACTGAAATCCTGCAGCGCCCGCAAGGTCCTCCTGCTCAAGAAAGCACATGTACAGGCCCATCTGAAGTTTGCCAATGAACATCTGAATGATTCAGAGGAGAACTGGGTGAAAGTTTGTGGTCAGATGAGACCACAATCGAGCTCTTTGCATCAAGTCAACTTGCCATGTTGTGAGGAGGGGGAATGCTGCCAAGAACACCATCCCCACCATCAAAGATGGAGGTGGAAACATTAGTCTTTGGGGGTATTTTTATGCTAAGGGGACAGGACAACTGCACTGCATCAAAGGGACAATGGACAGGGCCATATACTGTCAAATCTTGGATGAGAACCTCCTTCCCTCAGCCTGGGCATTGAAAATGGGTCATGGATGGGTATACCAGCATGACTATGACCCAAAACATACAGCCAAGGCAACAAAGGAGTGGCTCAATAAGAAGCACATTAGGGTCCTGGAAAGGCCTAGCCAGTCTCCAGACCTTAATCCTATAGAAAATCTGTGCAGGGAGCTGAAGGTTCAAGTTGCCAAACGTCAACTATAAAACCTTAATGACTTGGAGAGGATCTGCAAATCAGGAGAAAATCCCTCCTGAGATATGTACAAACATGGTGGCCAACTACAAGAAACGGCCAACTACAATCTGACCTCTGTGATTGCCAACAAGGGATTTGCCACCAAGTACTAAGTTAAAGGGGTCAAATACTTATTTCACTCATTGACATGCAAATCAATTTATAAAGTTTTTGACATGCGTTTTTCTGGATTTTTTTTTTGTTTTGTTATTCTGTCTCTCACTGTTAAAATACACCTACCATTAAAATTATAGACTGATCATTTCTTTGTCAGTGGGCAAACGTTCAAAATCAGCAGGGGATTAAATACTTTTTTCCTCACCCTTAAAGTTGCCCATTTTTATTTTCATATGCATTTTTTTTTATGTGAACAGTGGAAGCGACTGACCACAAAGGAAGTGACTGAACTTGTGACCGAGAATGACTGTCTGGAAGGGTGAGTGACTAGGTTTTGAGTGAGTGGTTGTGAAGTGCAGGCAGATCGTTTAAATGGGGACAGGTGCACACAACCCCTTTAGCACTGCATGACCCTAACTGAACTAGCAGAGCAATAAGTAAAATGTTCTGCTGTACACCCTAAAACCAAAAAAAGTGAAAATATACCACTCTTTCCGCCTCCTAATTTAGCATTTCAAAAACAATTAGTTATCCATTTAAAGACAAATTGAAGCATGATGCTTTAAGCTCATTATTGTCCCTGTGTAACAAATGCCAACATAGAATGATACACTTAATTAACTTATTATTTAAATTTAACATTGGCTGCTTAACACAGCCCTACAGTAAGTAAGTTATCTTATAGTTTAAAAGAATCCTTAAAGAACGCAGTGTAATGATGATAAAAACATCATTGGCCATTAAGTGTGTATCATCCTATTAAGTCATGAATTTTTGGTTATGGTTTTCTATAAAACAGACGTTCATTAAAAAATGTCATTTCGTTCAACACACTTCGATCTTATTATACAGGATATGATTTCTATGAGGCTGGTGACGAGTGGCCCAGTAAAATGTAATACAGTAATATATAATTTATATATGTCAGAATGTATGTATGTGCACTTGTTAGATTTATCTGCCAATATGTAAAGGAAAAACTTTATAAAACTGTTACTTCTTGCTTTTTAAAAAAAATCTATTAAACTTAAACTTAGTTAATGCAGAATAGTATAGTAGTGGCAGGCAGCCTTGTCTTTGTATATGTCTCTTACATGCAGTCTCCCTCCCCACAGCACATACATGTTATCAGTTATATTTATGTTTGTTTCCAGTCTGTTGCCTTCTTCCTTGGACATAGTTATACCTCCCAAGTGTTCCTATTTAGGAGAGACAGTACCTATTTCGGGCCCAAGTCTTTCTGTCCCTATTTTCTATCCTAATGTTCCTCTTTGCTAGGAGCTCCTATTGTTGGTGTGTGTGAGTGTATAACAGAGCTCAACAACAATAATGCTCACATCGATGTGTATCTACTAGAGTTGAGCGGACACCTGGATGTTCGGGTTCGGCCGAACTTTGAAAGAAAAGTCCGGGTTCGTGATCGAACTTCACCCCGAACCCCATTGAAGTCAATGGGGACCCGAACTTTTGGCCACAAAAATCCCTCTAAAAACTCCTGGAAAGGGCTAGATGGCTGCAGAAGGAAGTAAAATGGAGGTAAGAGTATGACAAATGCCCTGCAAACAAATGTGGATAGGGAAATCATTTAAAATAACATAAAAATTAAAAATACAGCTGAGCCATAAAATAGCACTAGATGGAATATTTGATTTTATCTTTGGAAGAACATAAATCAAAATCTAAAGCATGTCAGGAGGATCAACAGAATAATCCATTTGAGAGAGGGTTGGAGTGCAGGGTATTCTCCTTCATTGTTCAAACTGAGCTCAACTCCTGATGCATGGAGAAAAGTCCTTCACAAGCCTCTGCTATTGTGTGCATAATTTATACTAAGTGACCCATAGGTTGAGGAGGCAGGGACTGTGGCGGAGGAGGAGATAGCCAACACTGTTTTTTATAAATATATATTTTTTATTTTAATTGGGGTAGCCACCAAAATATTGGGACATATAAAAAAAGAAACATTTGCGGCCTGTGGTGCATTTCTTGCAGTCCTGATGCATGGAGAAAAGGCCTTCACAAGCCTCTGCTATTGTGTACATAGTTTATACTGAGGAGGCGGTGACCATGGCGGTGTAGGTGGAAACGGCGGTGGAGGAGGAGGTAGCCAACACTGTTTATATATATATATATATATGTATATATATATATATATTTTTTTTTTATTTTAATAGGGGTAGCCCCCAAAATATTGGGACATACAAAAAAAGAAAACTGTTCTGCAGAGCGACTGACCCATGCGTGCTGCATCTGAAACTCAACTATCGCCTGCTGCTGCTCGCACATTCTCATGAGGCGGTGAGCGGGAAGGCCGAAGTTACGCAGCAGCGCAGACAGGCGACAGCAGCAGGGTGAGAACGCCAAAAGCGCGCACAAACGGCCCGCACTTTCTGCAGCAGCTCTGATATATCTGGGTATACACCGTGGCATCACAAGGGCCACTCACAACTGGCTCAACTCCCATCAAGCCAAGGAGATCACCCAGCTCGTCATGCTAGAGCACTTTTTCAATGTGCTCTCCAACGAGAAAGCGACGACGCATTCGTATGTCAATCCATATTAGCTTTCGATGCCATTGACTGCGCTTACCATGGTGACCACGGGTAATGGGGAATCAGGGTTCCATTCCATACAGGGACCCTGACAAATGGCTACCACATGCAAGGAAGGCAGCAGGCGCGCAAATGACCCACTCCCGACGCGGGAAGGTAGTGACGACAAATAACAATACAGGACTCTTTAGAGGCCCTGTAATTGTAATGAGTCCACTTGAAATCCTTTAACTCTGATCAATTGGAGGAAAGTCTGGTGCAGCTGACCCGTGCGTGCTGCAGCTGAAACTCCACTATCGCCTGCTGCTGCTCAAACAGTCTCTCCAGCATGTGCAAGGTGGAGTTCCACCTTGTGGGCACGTCGCATATGAGGCAGTGAGCGGGAAGGCCAAACTTACGCTGCAGCACAGACAGGGGAGCAGCAGCAGGGTGAGAATGGCGAAAGCGCGCACAGCCGCTACAGTGAATGTCACATCCTGTTCCAAGTTGCGGATCAGTCTGGTGATGGCTTCTGGTATCCAGTACTCTTTTTACTGAAGCTGCATCAGGGTCCTGGTATGTGGCCGCACAAACGCTGGTGCTCAACACCAGGGGGCGTGCGGTTACAATGCACCAGACCCTGCTAATCCATTCCACACTGTGACTCCTAACATCTACATCAGGCATACTGGGTCCGGGGCGTCCTACCGTCGCCCAGACAGCCCACCTGACTGTGAAACTATGAAAACGAGAGAAATCTCAATGTATCTTTCCTGGTAAAATATTTTATAAATAAATAATAATAATAAATAAATAAATGGATCGTTAAATCTGGTACGAACCCAAACTTTTCAGTTCGGGTTCGCTCAACTCTATTATGGATCCTTTGATCGCTACATCAATTACTTGGATAACTAGTAATTCCAGAGCTAATACATGCCAACGAGCGCTAGGGGACGGCCGCTCCGCTTTTGCACCCTGCTCCCTCTTATGCTGTGCTGGTGCCTCTGTGCAACCAGCGCCTCTTACTCCAAACTGCACACGTCACTCGCATGAAGTTGATTCCGTGTGGGGTCTAGGACCTCATCATCCTCCACATCATCTTCCACCCACTTCTCAACCCTGCCCTCCTTGCCGGTATGTACACCGCAGAAAGCCACAGCAGTTGGCACCTGTGTTTTTCCCGTATGTAAAGTCTGCAAAGGACATATGGAAATTGTTTTAGAATTGTATCCAGGCAACACTTTTCCCTATAAACTGACCTCTCAGTTTGACTTGTGAGGGTATTGCCCCAAAATTACAATATTGTTTAAGTACCTCTTAGCTATTGATAACTGGTTTAAATATAGCAGCTTGTTATCTGGTAGTTTCTAGTGTAGAAAATATAAATATGTTTTCTAACACTTAGATCTGTGTAACAAGAGTTGTAGGTGTGAAACAATATTACAAGTGACCGATGTAGTAAATTTGAATCAAAGTTACGCTTCGATTTGACTCTCACATATGAAGAATAGGCCCCAAAATGTACTATTTGCAGATTAGCACCCAGAAAATTAGAATGTTTACAACTGCCCTATAAGCGCACTATTAGACGCTTCGATTTGACTCTCAGATATGAAGAGCACCCCACTAATGTACTATTTAGCAAATTATCACCCAGAAAATAAGAATGTTTACAATTGCACTGTAATCGTAGTATTTGACGCTTCTATTTGACTCTCAGATATGAAGTGCACGCCCCAAAATGTACTATTTAGCAGATTAGCATCCATTAAATTAGAATATTTACAAGTGCGCTGTAAGCACACTATTAGATGCTTTAATTTGACTCTCAGATATGAAGAGCAGGCCCCAAAATTTATTATTTAGCAGATTAGCACCAAAACAATTAGAATGTTTACAACTACACTGTAAGCCCACTAATTGACGCTTCTATTTGACTCTCAGATATGAAGTGCACCCCAGTAAAATACTATTTAGCAGTTTAGCACCCAAAAATATTTAAGTATTAAAACTGCAATGTGACAGCAGTATTTGACGCTTCTATTTGACTCTCAGATATGAAGTGAACCCCACTAATTTACTATTTAGCACCCAAAAAATTTTACTTTTTAAAACTCCAATGAAACCAAGGTATTTGACGCTTCTATTTGATTCTTAGATATGAAGTGCACCCCACTAATGTACTAGTTTGCAGAATTCTTTCCTAAGCTGTCCCTCACAGCAGCAGCATCCTCTCCCTACACTAATAAGACCTCATGTGCGTGCAGCGCTACGCGACTCCAGCTTATATATAGGGGCTGGGTCACATGCTGCACAGGCCAATCACAGCCATGCCATTAGTAGGCATGGCTGTGATGGCTTCTAAGGGCACACGAGTCAAACGCTTGTTGATTGGCTGCCCTGCAGCCTTTCAAAACGCACCATTAAATCGCTGAACACCGAACTCCAAACTCCAACCCAAACATACAGTGATATGTCCGTGTTCGGGTCCAGGGTCCAAAAAACATAATGTTCGGTACGAACCCGAACTTGACAGTCCAGGTTCGCTCAACTCTAGTATCTACTAAATCTCTTCCTAAACCATTCTGTGTATATTTAATCTTTTTTTTTTTGTTTTTGTTCTAAATAACCTTTTACACACACAAATTATGTCACCTGAAATTTCCCAATACAGCCCCGCCTCTGGCGACACCCCACTAACACCTCTAAAATATATTGTCTATCTTTGTAATGTTGATATGTTGGAAGGCATGCAAACTTTGAACAAGCTACGAATGCAGGGAGCACTCAATGCAGCAGGGTTCATGGTTCTCAGGCACTTTCCATCATAATTCTAGTTTATTTGTGAACTTCTTTTACTTCATGTCTGCTGAAGACTGTGTGTAGGTGTCTTTAGTCAGCAGTCATGTTCTGTATTGATAAAGAGCAGGGTCGGCCTAAGGCCTTTAGGCGCCCCCCTCCTCCACTTCATCCATGTATAGTGTGTGTGTATAGGAGTTTATTGTTTGTATAGGGGACAGTCATACACACAGCAACACACAGGCAGACAGTCACACACACAGGCAGACAGTCACACACAGTTACATTCATACACACAGACAGACACACACACACACACAGGCAGTCAATCACACTGTCAGACAGACACACACACAGTTACACACACAGTTAATGTCACAGTCAAACACGGGCAGTCTCACACAGAGGCAGACACACACAGTTACAGTCACACACACAGGCAGACACTCAGTTACAGTTACATACAGTTACAAACACTCACAGTCACACAGTTACAGTCACACACAGAGTCAGATGCACAGTTAGTCACACACAGAAGCAGACACTTGCACACAGTTACAGATGCACTGTTACATTCCCACACAGAGGCAGGCACACACACACAGTTACAGATGCACAGTTACAGTCACACACATAGGCAGACACACACAGTTACAGTCACACACAGTTACAGTCTCACATACAAGCAGACTCTCACACACAGTTACAGTCACACTCAGAGACTGCCGCACACAGTCACACACAAGGGCAGACGCTCACATATAGTTACAAACACACACAGGTACAGTCACCCACACAGGCAGACACACACCGTTACAGACACACACAGTTACAGTCACAGACAAGGGCAGACACTCGCACACAGTTACATTCACACAGTTACAGTCACACAGGCAGACAGTCACACAAATGGAAAGTTACCTCTCTCCATAATGAACTGTAAGGGAGGAGTGGAGAGTTTAACTACTGCGGAAAAATACATGATTAAATTACACAAAAGGCAAAATATAATTCCCTCATTAGCCCATTTGGGTCTTTGGATATTATCGTCATTATCCCAACAAATGAATGTCTTGACAGTTATTTCTCATCTTTTGCACAGGTTATGTACCTGAATTATTGTTGGCTTCTCAAGTAAGCAATATCGTGGTGAAAACTGTTTAATGCTGAGCAGGTAATACATTTTTTTTCAAAAGTTAAGTTAAGCTAATAAAATTTGATACAAAGTTAGTTATATTCTTTCACAATCAAATATATTCTACACTTATTATATAAATATTCTAACAGCTTGTCTTTTTTCACAAACAAGCAAAGATGTCTTCTAGTTTAATAGGGTTTCCTGTTTGTCTAACATTGTCTCTGTAGCGGAGCTCCCTGTACCCTGGCTGGGTACCTCCGCCAGAATCTATTCCTAGCTTGAACAGAGGAAACTGCAGCGCTTCTGCCCCAGTCGCCGTGGCTCGACTGGGGTACTCCTCAAAGTTCTCCTTTCTTAAACAGGGTAGTGAAATAGCTCTATCTCCCCCCATTTACTGAACGACATACAGTTCTGGGAGAACAACTGACTTAATTGAGCCAAACTCAGCCTTTTATGCACAGACCCCAGCATGGGGTCTCCATACAATAAAGTGCAGTCCCTGCCCAGCCATCTCTGTGTCTGAGAGATAATTAAGTCCTGGACCGGTAAGTTAATTATCTCCCAGATACAGAGAGACAAATATAAAAAACATAAAAGTACTCCAAAACATAGTTAAAACATACAGGAACCCATATGTCCTATATCCCAGAATAGCCCTTATCTGAGCGCCCAAGTTGTCATAATAGCGCTCAGATTCATGCATTGTAGTGGAATCACCACTGGGGTAAAGTTCTGACCGGCCACACACGTGGGTCAAGAGCGATTAGTGGTTTGGCCTGTAAACTGTCGGGGGCTCCAGCGGACAAAATACGGGCTGCTCCTCCTGGCTCTCAGGGAGCGATTGTTCTACACAGTCTCGGGCACCTTCTCTCCAAAAGGCAAGGAGGTCATAACACCGGACAAAGATGACCTAGAACCACAAAGTCTTCTTGCCAAAAATGATTCCATATCGGAGTTCGTGGCAAAGGAGCGTTTGCCACAGTATCTTTATCAAGCTTTTCTACCTCAGAGAAATTATCAGCTTCCTTACTTGAAAACTTTTTTCAGCCATAGTTACAATCAACCTTGCTGTCTGGCAGATAATAAAAAATCTTGTTTGTGCTATGTCTGATGACCCCAATCGGCTTTTAACTTCCTCATGGACTAAGTGCCATATGCACAATTAGTGTCTTTGCAAATTACTCTGTTCCATAGCCATATCTCCATAGGAAAGGGCATTGTGGATTAATATACTTAAATTGATTCT